GCAGCTAATGCTACCCCAACATTAGCAAAACTAGGCATGGTAACTCCTGATGCGTCTAATCCCTTTTGTGTCATATGCAGTTGTTCATCTACGAGATAAATTCAGAAGAATAATTAATACCAATAATAAGTGCATTCATAGTATATTAAATAGGCAACATTGCATACCTGTGAATTCTAATTTTCCCACCAGGTTTTTGATCCTGGTTGTAAGACCTCTTCTCGACAACAAGTGACTGAATAAGAAAATTAGAGAAAAGTGAATAGAATTTTCTTATTATTAGACTGATTCAGGAATTACACATACCTTAGAGCATGTATACAATAGATAACTTTTGGAATATTTTTCTTTTCATATAAATCCGTTAATTCAAACCAGAAAATCTGTATAATATTCAAGTCGTCTATTAATGCTATTCAAACATTACATGAAAAAAATAACGAACGTGTCACATACATTTGGTAATTTGACTTTTTTTATTGCAGCAAAAAAGTAATTGATATTGTCCGAATGACGGAATTGCAACTTTGGCGACTAAGAAGTGAAAATGTGTTCGTCAATCCAATTTCTGCATATAATTTTTTCTAATAATAATTAATTACCTCAAATATTCTTTTAACGACAGAAGGTTCAAAAGATCTAGCCAACTTTGCCAGTGCAATTCCATTTCTAAGACTTTCTTCTAGCATTATGACAGGATCAATTTCTTCACCGACGCATGATTCTATCCATCTAATAACAAATAAATGCTTTTAAGAAAGAAGAAAATATATTTCTCAAAAATTTCAAAAATTCATTTAGCATTACTCTTTAGCTTCGCCGATGTGACACAAGTATTCATAAGCCTGGATATTTTTCCGCTGTTGGTCTGCCCAATTTCGAGAGTTTTGACGTTCCCCGGTTCTCTGAAGTCTGATGCGGCCTTTCAAACCTGCATAAAATTCAATTAACAAGTTAATTCTCTAGCTGATAACTTAAAATTTCGTTATCACGCGTAATTCAACAATTTTTTTAAAAACTATGACGTGTAGATACGCGTCATCGGTTAATTGACAATATGTAATAGGTCATGAATCGTTCACGTGTAATTCCTGGCTGTGAAATGCATATAGACATCTTACCAGTTACATCTTCCGCATTCTCAGTAATGGTGGGAATTTGTAAATCCGAAAGGTCTTTCTTCCCAGACATGCTGGACAAACGTTTCAGTTCGGCTGATCTTGCGAGATCTCGGTTCGTTATCATACTATTGGATCTTGCAGGCTCCTTTGTAAACTTGTTATTATACTGTGAAGTCCAGTTTGAACTAAAAGCACGTTCGGAACTCATTTCGGAAGCTTCGTTCCCTAAGAAAGTGATATCGTTAAAATATACTCGTTTATTTTAGATAATTTGGTAATTTCTTCAAGAAGAACCCGTGGAATTACGTTTTTCATTAAGGGAATTATATGTTGGAAAGCTTCCTCTACTAATAATATCATAAATTAAAAAAGAAACTTTACTGCAGATGCGTGAAGAGATAGGGGTTAAAATAAGGAGTATCGAATGTGGAACGTTGTGGATCTTGATTACGTAGGCAAAGAAGAAT